GTCTTGATGCTCTTAGCAATCCAGCCTTCAAATTCACTTTTTGCTTGTGTAATTATTAACTGTGGTCCCTGCTGTTCACTTCAATGGGACAAACCTTCCACTTTTTTTAAAAAAGAAGCCTTTTGCCTTTTATGGGTCCTTGACATCCTTTTAGACTTGGGGTAACAACATCTACATCTCACACCAGGTCTTCAGCCCTGCTCAGAACGAATTCCAAAATCACTACACTTCTAGTTGGCTCTGTAACTGACAGTTCCAATACACAGTCATTTTTTCCCCTATAGCATGATTCAAGCACATATTTACTCTGTCAAAGTGAGGGTAGTTTAAGTCACCCAGTATCATTTTATCTGCTTTATCTCTTCCCTTATTGACTGTTCTATCTTGAGATCAGCCTAAAGGGTTTGATCAGGCAGGTAACAGTGCACCCGGTTCACATCCCGCCAGCCCCGTAGCTAGGGACTTTTTTGGGAGGGGGCCATGGGGGGGCTGGTTTTGAGTCAGTTTCAGCGTGCTGGTCAATTTCACGCCGTGACACCCCCGGCTCAGCAGAAGGCCGCTTCTGTCCCACCTCCCGCTTTTGACATCCTGCATAAATTATCCGCCCCCCCAGTTAAAAAAAGTGTGGCTGTCTTCCACCCCGGGTCTTTGCAGTCCGAAGAAGATTTAAGTGGGGGTGTTTCCCAGTCAGAGTGCAAAGTGGCGTGCACGTGGTGAGTTGAGGCACTTCGGGGACAGCCCGGGAGGGAGGAGGCCCAGAAGAAATGGGAGGGGCCAGGCCCCGCGGGCCCCGCGTTAGCTACGGGCCTGCATCCCGCCCAGCAGAAGAATGGTGGGTATCTCAGGGGGCAGTGGCAAGGTCTCCCCCTCTGGCTCTGGTGGTGGTGGGGACTCTGGCTCTGCTGGAGCATTGACAGCAGGCACCTCTGCAGTGCTGGTCTCTCCCAGGTCCCTTTGGTCCTCCTTGGCCACTGGCTTCAGCTCCTCAGGATCTTCCCCCAAAGACTCAGAGTCCAAGTCACTGGGCTGCTCAGAGGTGGTCATGACACATTAAATGGAGAAGATGTCATCCATTAAAATGTGGTTGGAAAGATCTGGGGCCTGCTCTTCTTGAACCAAATACCATAACAAATAAAAGTTCTACAGCATAAGACTCATCCTAATCACTTACTAATTATTGGTCGACAATTCAGCATATTTGTTCAGAGCAAATGGCTATTCAAGTTGTGCAACCATTTAAATTTAATTCTAGATGGACTTTGGCCACACAACAGCCATCTGTGATCAGTTGGCTACTTACTTTGCAGAGGGGTACTGGCAAAGTGGGCAAACATCCTTGAGAATGGCAGTTATGCTGCCCATGTTCAAAAAGGCAGTGACTAGACCTGTTCTGAGGGGGGGGGGGAACCCCATCCTAAGCCCTTCTGTGTCAAGAGAACTTCTGCCCAGTCTCCTATCTTCCATTCTTGGGCAAGGTGCTAGAGCGGGTGGTTACTTCTAAGCTTCAGGGGTTCTTGGAAGAGATAGATTTTCTGAACCTATTTCAATCTGCCTTCAGGCCAGAATTTGGAACAAAGACCGCATTGGTTGCCTTGGCTGATAACCTCTGTCAAGAACTAGACCAGAGTAATGTGACCCTTACTAGTTCTGCTGGATCTCTCAGTGTCCTTAGTATCCTACTGATTCTGTTTCTGACCATAGTAGTCTATTAAGCTGCCTCTCAGCACTGTGACTACGGGGCACCGTGTTGCAGCGGTTCAAGTCCTATCGGGAGGGGGGGGGTCAGTCTCAGAAGGTAGTGTTGGGGGATTCCTGCTCTATTCTATTGTATTGTGTATATATAAATGGATCAACCTAAGGGATGTGAGTTAAGGCTTCCAAACTATTATGCTGAAAAAAATTGTTAGCCTCTAAGGTGGCATTAGACTCCGGCTGTATTTTGCTGTTACAGGCTACCCATCTTATTTAATTCTTTATTTAAAATATTTATTTGCCATCTTTCTTTCTTGCAGAACTCGAAGGCAGCTTACAATGTAAATAAAACAATGATTATAAAAACACCAATCAAAGAAACTCATCTGATGGGCACATGATAGAGGGCCTTTTCAGTGGCAGCCCCGTGATTACAGAATAACCTCCTCAGGGAGATGTGCCAGGCCCCCTCACTTTCAGTATTCAAAAGGTAATTGAAGCCAGTTTTATTTAGGACTGGGTTTGACTATTTTCTCCTGCCAACCTAGCAGTTCGAAAGCAAGAAATTGCAAGTAGATAAATAGGTACCACTTCGGTGGGAAGGTAACAGCGTTCCGTGCACCTTGGTGTTTAGTCATGCCGGCCACATGACCACGGAAACGTCTTCGGACAGCGCTGGCTCTTCAGCTTTGAAACAGAGATGAGCACTGCAACCCCAGAGTCAGACTCGACTGGCTTTCAAGGAAGGGAACCTTTACCTTTACCTTTACTATTTTACTTTTTATTTATTGGCAGTCTAATTGATATTTTAAATTGTGGTCTTTATGTGTATATAAATGGATCAACCTAATGGATGTATAGTTAATGCATCTGATGAAGTGACCTCTGACTCCTGAAAGCTTATAGCGGAATAAATTCTGTTAGGTTCAAAGAGGTCACTGGACTCTCGTTTTATTTTTCAGTTAAATATACACTGTTTATATTATATAACCACCTTTCAATAGGTCACTATACCTTGCTAGCATATGATTTTCCCTTTTAAAACTAGGTTTTCATTAAATATTTTGTGAATTGAGAAATATTAAATAATTTACATTTGCATTTAACTTATTTTTAATGTTTAAAAAATGGGGGGATGACCAAAATAAAGCAGCACAGCCGACATTTTTCACATTCTTTTTCCGTTAGACCTATATCAGTGGGAAAGGGACAAATAAACATGTTGCCATGGTGACTGGAGCAGCCTTGTTAAAATTAACAAATCAATTATGATGTAAAAAGGGTTCCCTAGTGGAGCATATTACAAAGGAAGCAACTAATTGTTTTCCTTGCTTTCAGAAAAGCCTATTAAAAATATTTGCCATATCAGCTAAAATACCTTTTAAAATATAAGTCGAGATACACCAAGCACATCACAGATGTAGAGAGAGGATATATGTTATCTCTAAGGTTCTGGGAATTGAAATAACCTCATCTGTACATTTTGCCTTGAATTTCATATTAAAATTCAATGCCTGACACAGAAGCTAAGATTTAATTAAAAGGCAGCGAGGGCAATTTTACTAGAGTGTCCTAGGGCAGGGAAATGCCACACAGTAAAAGATTAATACCTATGCCCCTCCTCACATAGCTGCCTGTAGTCAAGCTAAGCCTTATTTCCTCCCCTCCGTTCTCTCCATGCAGCTGTTGAGGACCGCACAGAAGAGACTGGGAGAAAGATACTGTCTTTATCGGCTCCTGAGGCAGTTGTGCATGCGTGAATGCTCCATTGATCAGAAAGGACAGTGGAAAAGATCTGTATTTGCGTACTGAGAGTATCAAGTTTGCTACTTTCTTTAGTCCAGGAGTTCTGTAAAATGTTTCTACCTCCTTTCTCTGGATTTCCACTTTCCCCAAATTACGGTTGATTAGTCAATTTTTAAAAACCATTATATTGTTAAATATCCTTACTACCAATTTGTACATAGGGAGGGCAGGGAGAGAGGGGTCAGGATTTCACAGGGGTCAGTTCTCTCGACCAACAAAGGGCTGAAAACCACTGCCTTGTTCTAATGTAGAGCCTTTGGGTTCGAAACTATATTTATGCATGGGGCAACCAGCAGGAGACCCTGGGGGGGGGGGAGAGAACTGTGGGCACTGTGGTTATTTTTTTCCTCCTGCTGTTGCTCAGAGTAGTGGTGGGAAACAGCTGAGAGTGGGGGATCCCCTGTCTCTACTGGTGGGGGGGCTGGCAACCCTGTTTACACAGTGCATCAAAGGCCTACAGAAAAGACATTAAAAACCAAGGATGTTTTTGCATACTATTCATCCTGTTCTTCAGTGGAACTTATTTCCCTGTAATACATTTATGGTTGAAGTGCAAGTGTAGTGTTCTATCCCGTGGATGACAGCGTCTCTCATTGGTTAATAAGTTATTGTAGCATACATTGTAAAGCCCTTATCCTGTCATGAGTTCCAAGGCTTTCTAGTGTATGGTACATTCAAAATATGCCAACTTAATATTTGGTTAAGTAGGCAAATTATTAGTCAGGTTCAAAGATACATGTACTTTCTTGGTTGCTGCTATTATTACAGTTGCTCAACCATGTAGCAGCTTTAGGATGGAGTCCTTTACAAGAAAGAAAGAAAGAAAGAAAGAAAGAAAGAAAGAAAGAAAGAAAGAAAGAGAAAGAAGGAAGGAAGGAAGGAAGGAAGGAAGGAAGGAAGGAAGGAAGGAAGGAAGGAAATCTTCTACAGAGCTTGTAAAAATAAACAGGGGTCTTCTGGCACCTTAAAGATCCACATTTTGCTTTTGTGGACTAGAGCACATGTCTTCAGATACGAGTAGATCCTCGCTATGTAGGCACTTTATATAGAGTATGAAAAAATAAAAGTATGTAGAATAAAACTGTACTGTAATTATGTAAAATTAATTTTTTTCAAGAAAAATAGAGATGCCATTAACTAATTACTCTAAGCTGGTTTTCATCGATAATGGGTGGGCCATCTCAGGATTTAATAATGAACAGCTTTAGTGAGTAAGAAATTTGCTCAAGGGGGGAGGGAGGTAGTGTGAAATCACTTAACAAATCCCAAGTCGTTGTGTGTGTGTGTGGGGGGGTGCACGAAACCTCTTAATGAATTTCAATTCAGTAGTTGCAGTTTTAGCTTGTCAGGAATGAGACTGAGGAAGTAGGATTCTGCCCAAGTTACAATGAATGAATCTATGGCACTGGTAGGACTTGACCCCAGGTCTGCAAAGGCAACAATCACAAATCAGAATCCTTTTTATTAAATTAATATCAAAAGCATAAAAACACGAATGAGGAGAAGACGACTTAGGTCACACAGTAACACTGTTGAGCACATAGCACGAGGCAAGTTAAAGGTGGTTGTCCAAAAGGGAAAATCACATTAATCCTTTTGCCTTTATTTAGAGGACATAAGGAAATGTTTAAGGATAAAAGGTAACATAAGGCAGTGACATAGAAAACACAATTACATAATGCATGCAGAACTGTAACAACAGCATGCAGTGACCAACCTAGGGTAAAACCAATTATTAAAGGCATGTCCAGGTGATACCTACCTGCACTGCTGGGTTCATGTTTTATAATGCTAAACTGGAAGCATAAGTACCTGTAAAAACTGCTACTTAAATGTGTGGAAGTCCAATTCGTCCATTGTACTTGCTATACATACTGACCCTGCTAATCTTCTAGGATGTCATTCTGATTTATGGATTAAGATCTGCACAGTCTTAGTGTGTCTTGCAGTTTTTTGTTGTGTTCATCATCTAGAATTGCTTTTGATGCAGTCAGAAACAAAGGTTGAGCAATCTAGCAGATTAATCCCTAAAATGGAGAGGTAAACCTAGATTCTGAAAAGCTCCAGTATTTTCATTGGTATCCCCAAGCACAACACTACTCGCTGAAGTTGCTTTTCTTAAACTAAAAGAAACATATTTTTTTTAAAAAAACTGAGAGTTGGTATTGCTCATCTCGATAACTATTTCTCTCATAGACATACACACATAGAAGTGGCTAACTGGCAAACTGTCATACATCTGAGACAAAATAAGAGTTCCTTCATTACAAAATAACTAACAACAACAGAAATATTTACTATAGAGAATTGATAGAAAAGTTTACATTATCTTAGACATTCATGTAAAATACTTACAGTAGCCTCAAATGGTACTGTTTTCTTAGAAAGTCACTACTGAACTAAATTATTGTGTAACCCAGATGAGGTCTTCAGGAAAAGCATGCACCATCAGTAACATTTTCACAAAGGACATTTTTTTTTTTAATTTTAAGGGAATTCAAAGAATAGTACACAACAGCTTCTTCTCCCTGAAGGGATTTTCAGATGCAGGCACTGGTATAATAAGTGGATCTTCTCCCATATGGGCATCACAGTATGCCAACAAATCAGCAGCAGCCTTGGATACCTAGGAAGGTTTCAGAAAGAAAGAAAAAAGATAGAAATACAAACCTGAACATCAGCACTAATGTCACAGTGGCTGTAGAAACACACATCAGGCACATTGACTTAAACCTGACGAAGCCGCAGGAGAAGAATAAGAGAGTACAACTTGCATCACATACATGCTTTTGGTAACTAAGCAAGATTATCTGTTAGCCAATGGCATTCTATTCTCATAAGTAGGCTTATGGAAAGCACCCCAAAAACGGTAATCACTAGGAGAGGGGATTCAAAACATAGCATAGGTTATTTGGCAATATGAAAAAATAATGCTATAAATCTTCTTTCTTGCTAGAGCTTTTATCTGATTTTCTTCAGGAAATCTCTGTTAAACTCTCAAACGGTAAAAATAAAATGAAGGTAAATGGATGGCCATTACTTCAAAGACATACAAAATTCACTTTGTCTTGTCAGAAGGGCAAGATGGTCCTTGGTATCTACCAGCTCCATAATTCTCCATTAACTGAAAGGTGATCTTCAGTGATCCTCAGTGATCCTAATTTCCTTTTCCCGATTCATTTTTTTATACTCTGTGTGTGTATAGATATAGATATAGATAGATACACACACACACGATCCTCACCTCCTGCTTAGGATGAAATGAGTATCCAGAGGCCTAAGTGATCAAACATTTGTGATTTAAGAGAGAATTAGCAGCCTGTAGAACAATTGTGGAATTTTACCCTTACATTTCAAAGTAAAGGAGATGATTAAAAACAGCCCAAGTTAGAACATAATCCTGTTAGATACACTGTAATTATAACATTCACTGACAAGAGAAAACACTGCAATTACTACAGTCACCTTCCAAGACAAGACAAGCATAATTATTATTCTTGCAATGACATCCACTCTGCGTTTGCTTTGTGTCTAAAATGAGCACATCCACAAACATCTTACTAATGCCACTGTTGATCTCACAACACTATTTTAGAAATAGTTAACAATACTCTCTGTCTCTTTTTTCAAAGAGAGTGAGACAGAAACAATAGCTAAGGTACATAATTGTTCATGAGCTGACACTTGTAGAAAAATCAGTGTTTCTCCATTGGAAGCCAGTACAATCAGCAACACAGTTTTGACGTCCCATGGGCTATCTCTGAACATTTACCATGCAAATTATTTACACCACTCACATGTCAGGCCTGGTTATAGGACTGAAACTGCCTTGGTTTCCCTAGGGGATGACCTGCACCCAGAGATGAATAGAGGAGGTGCAATCCTGTTCTTACTCCCAGACCTCACAGTTACTTTAATCATGACATCCTTCTGAACTAACTTTCAGGGTTGAAACTGGGGGGCACGATTGGGTTCCATTCTGTCCCCTATGCTTTTTACTATCAATACAAAACAGCTGGGTAAGGTCAACCAGAAATTTGAGCTGATTGTCACTAATATGGGATGATATTCAGCTCTATTTTACACTTCTAGCTGAGCCTAGGTAGGCTTCAATCACTGCCTGGAGGACGTTTTTGGAATCAGGACTAATAAACTGAAGCTTAATCTTGACAGGATGTAGATGCTACTTGTAGGTGGAAGAACTCACCCAGGAACTGAGGTGCCACCAGTTCTGGATGGGGTTGCACTCCCCCCTAAAGAAAACGGTTCACAGTTTGGGGTGCTGTGGGTCTCCTGTTGGATAAACAGGTGGCAGTGATAGCCAGGAAGGCCTTTCACCAGTTTCAGCTGCTGAGACAGCTGCAGCCTTTGCTGAATAAAGAAGATCTTGCAACACTGGTGCATGCCCAGGTAACATCTGGATTAGATTACTGCAATATGCTCTACATGGAACTGCCCTTGAAAACTGTTGGAAGCTTATATTCACCCTTAAAGCCCTAGCTGGCTTGGGACCAACATATCTTAAGGACCTATCCAACCATTATAGGCATCTTAGGGGCGCCTGCTTCAGGTACCTGTCATCTGAGAAGAAATGGGTGGGCAATCTGAAGGAGGGTATTTTTGGCTGTGGCACCAAAACTGGAATTCCCATCCCAGGGAGATTTATCTGTCCTATGTTATCATTGTCTTCTGTTGGCAAATGAAGACTATTTTGTTTAATTTGATATTTCCTTACTTCCTATTTATGTTTTAACTGCTATTTTTATATATGTACTTTTAAAAGTTGATTTCAATGAATTTTTAACTGTTCACTTCCTCAAGGGTCCTAATTAGGTAGAAAGATGGGGGAAATATTTGAAATACATCAACGAATTCACTATTTCACACTAAACTCTTTGCTGAAAAAGAAAACTTTTGTGCCAATATTTAGCACCATTTTTTTGAATTACAGTTATTACTCCTCTTTTTAAAACTCTGTTATTTAAAAAACTGTCCATAGTATTGTGGTTACAGTATTAATTTACTCTACATATATTTAAATTTTTTCCTCCAAGAATCTCAGAGTAGCTAACATCTCCTTCCCAGGACGTTTTCCATCCATTTTCTGTATTAGGCAAGGGTCATATCAAATCAACAACTGAGTACGTCTCCATCTTTTCCTTGTATCTCCACCATGGTCCCTTATGATTAGTCTGAACCTCCTTGCTATTTGGTCCTGTCTCTGCAGATTATCAGCCAAGGTATCATTTCCAAGAGACATGGGCAGGCTGTTTCTCAAAAGAGGTGCATTTCAGACAGGGGACTTTCTGAAGCTACATCATTTCTCCTTATGTTCTCTACAGCGGTTTTTGCAATGCTTGTTGTAAATATCTCTTAGTCCAGATGGAATTCAGCAGAAGGATTCACTCCTATGTTTGTGTACTTATGTATGAGAACCTGTATTTTTTTGTGTGCGAGAAAGGCATAAAGCATGAAATGTGTGTGTGTGTGTGTGCGTCTTCTGGCATGTCATTTTCTATTTAAAATTGTCCATATGGTCCCAGCTATTTCACTTGTTTGTTAATTTGAATTTCTAGAATTTAAAAAACAATTGGGATAACAATAGGGTTAAAAACAAAAGTACAGATCTCTCAAGTAATATAATCTTAGGCCTCGCCTTAAGATTTTCTTTGAATAGGTGTTCGTAGAGGTGCTTTTTAACATACTTACGCACTGTAACTGAATAATTTCAGTTTCTGAAATAAGCTGCAAGGGAAAAAACAGGAGATTTACAGCGCCATCTTAAGCAGCTCTATTCAGTGTGGCTTTTACCCAGCAAAATGTTCTTAGGATTGCACCGTTTGAGTATGCACATGTATGCACACATGTACATACGTTAACCTTGCTGCTGGACAAATCATGAAGTTAGTTTATGCCCTTATTTAATTTCCTGTTATAAACAAAAGAAACCTTCAGGTGGCATCAAGAGATGTGCTTTGAAAGACCTTCAGACACCATGTTCAATATAACAAAAATAAATTGTACTTTGAAAAAGAGGCATCAAATCTGACACTTAATAAGCCTGCTGACTCCTCTGGGAATGGAAGCAGTCTACTTCATTCCAGAGTAGAGAGAAGAGATTATCTTTATCAACAGACAGAGATGATCCCAGCGCTTGTCAAGAAATACAGGCGTAATCTGGATCCTCAAATCAGCGGCAAAATTCCCACTGACTTAGAACATGAGTGCTGTAAAATATGAGCAGCATATCCTTAGTTTCTAGCTAAACATTTCTGCAGTACATAATAAATACCACCATGAAATAATATATATAAAGGTAAAGGTAAAGGTTCCCTTGCTCGAAAGCCAGTCAAATCCGACTCTAGGGTTGCGGTGCTCATCTCCGTTTCAAAGCCAAAGAGCCAGCGCTGTCCGAAGACGTTTCCGTGGTCATGTGGCCGGCATGACTAAACACCAAGGCTCACGGAACGCTGTTACCTTCCCACCGAAGTGGTACCTATTTATCTACTTGCAATTTCTTGCTTTCGAACTGCTAGGTTGGCAGGAAATATATATAAACTTAATTACAATTTTCAATTTACCTTTATCCTGTCCAAGTAGGCCTCCATTTTTAGTTGTTCCACTGCTTTTCTTGCTTGAGATATACTTGTCGTGCTGTTATTTGACACCACCTCCTTCATCCTGTTTTTCCTATAACTGTCAAAATTAAAGCATTAGGCAATTTTGTTTGTCCTAATGTAAATAATGTAAATTAGCATATATGTCATTCCTTTCTGGCTACAATGTCTTCCCTTCTCTGGCGTTTTGCTTCAAGAGGGTAGCCTTGTTGGGTCTGCAGTAGAAGAGCTATGTTTGAGGCCACTAGCACCTCAGAGACCAAAAAGATTCTGGGAGTATAAACTTTTGAGAGTGAAAGATCCCTTCATCAGATTTTGCTGAGATTTCAAAGTATGACAGATTACCTCCAAATTGTTTCTTCTGCAAAGTCTCTCAGAACATCCAAAATCCAGTGTTGTCCTAGCAGCAACACACTATATTCATCTTCTAAATATTCATTCATAGCTGCATTACATTTTCACCTATAAGAATGTCAGACTTGGGCATTTGACCAACTGCACCTGTTGTATTTCTTCCCAGTGTAATTATGCTCTTTGTATCCCTTCCCCCCCTGCACCCAACCATTTGTTATTCCTGCATCCTTATCGCTTGCTCTTGCCTGCCACTGCATTCATGAGGGGGGGGGGGAGTGAGAGCCAGTAGAATTTAGGGAAGCTAGCTTCGGTAGCTCTTCTATGGCGCCTCGAAGACATCTTTCACACAGGAAGTGTCCTTAAAGTAGAGTCTGTGTTTGGCTAGTGACTGACCGTATATCTTTCATGGTCTTTGTAGTATTGCTGATGTGTATGAATGGCATTTTGGGGTTGTGATTATATGCAGATTTCCCGCCTTTGCCCCTTAGTCCCGACAAAGAGTCTGAACCCATAAGCATCTCAAATCTCTAAATAAACCTTTCTCTAAAGAAAGCATGTGTGGAGAGTGATTTGACTGGGAACCTGACAAAGAAGCTGCCACTTCTATGTACCTGAAAGGGCCATAAGGTTGGTTTTATTATTTCATCTTGCATCTCATCCCTCAGCAAAAAATTATATAACCTTTGAATCATGTTTTGGCAAAGTTCCTTATTTTATCTTTGACAAATCTTGATTGTAGTTGTAACTTTTTCCAATTTGCGAGGTTAACATTAATTGATTGTAATGTTTCAAAGGATTTCAGTTCGTTATTTTTGGTTAGCAATGTTTCATCAGTGACTTTCTTATTATCTATTAACAAAGTTGGCATTATAAAAGCCTCTAATGGGGAGACCCACTTAGGCATTTTAACATAAAACCTTTTTTTGATTTTTCTCCATACTTTCATTAGTGCCCCTCTAATTACATGATTATGAAAGTTTTGTTGTATTTTATCTTTGTCATACCATACATAGGCATGCCAGCCCATGTATAGGTCATGACTTTACAACTGTAATGTTCTTTTATCCTCTAACAATATCCACTCTCGAATCCATCACATCGCTGCAGCATTATAATACAGGTACCAATCTGGTAATCCAAGTCCTCCTCTTTCTTTCTTGTCACGAAGTAACTTCATTTTAATACGCAACCTTTTTGATTGCCATATAAATTTTCTTACTATTTGATCTAATTCCTCACAGATTTTGTTGTTTTTTTAATATAGGTATGCATCGCGCCAAAAATAAAAATCGTGGAAGAATATTCATTTTTATAGTGGCAATTCTGCCCATAAATGATATATGAAGATCATGCCAATTATATAGATATTTCCTAATTTCCTCTATTAATACCTTATAGTTATTTTCATATAAATGTACATTTTTATTGGATACCTAAATATTTAACTGCTTATCACCTCAATACTTGAAATCAATTGAATTTTATTTATTTCTTCATTAGTACAATTTTTTGTCAAGATCTTAGTTTTTCTAAGGTTTATTTTAAGTCCTGCCAAAGAGCCATATTTTTGTATCACACTTAGCAAGTGCGGAAAGGATGTTACTGGGTCCTCCAGAATAAATGCAAGATTGTCAGCAAAAGCTTGAAGTTTAAACTGTTCACCTTTGACTTTAAGTCCTTTTATATTTATATTATCTCTCACCATATCATTTATAGTCTCTATTCCAAAAATCAATAATAACGGCGAGAGCGGACATCCTTGTCTTGTTCCCTTTTGAACATGAATGTTTTGCATTAGTTCTCCATTTACAATTATTTTTGCCCATTGTTCTTTATATATAGCTGTTATCATCTTCATAAATTTTCCCCACATTCCCATACTTCCATTTTGTATTTTAGAAAGTCCCAATTAACGTTATCAAAGGCCTTCTCCGCATCAAGGAAAACCAAAGCTAGTTGTCTTCCAGGGTGTTGCTCATAATATTCTATGACATTTACAATAGAATAGTTCTTACAATAGTTCTTACATTATTCTTTATTTGTCTTTTTGGGAGAAAGCCTGATTGATCTCGGTGTATAACCTGAATCATTACCTTCTTAAATCTAGCAGCAAGAATTGTCGCAAAAATCTTGTAATCTACATTTAGAAGTGAAATGGGTCTATAGTTTTTAATTTCATTTTCTTCTGTATTAGGTTTGTGGATTAATGTTATTAACACTTCATTCCATGAATTTGGTATTTTCCCTGAATTCATTATTTTATCCATTAAATCCTTAAATATGGGCATTAATTCATCTTCCAGTTTTGGTAGACTTCCGCTGGTATGCCATCTGGACCTGGAGATTTCTTTTTTTTAAAAAAAAGCTTCCACTATCTCACAAATTGTGATATTTTCATTCAAAATTTTCCTCTGCTCTTCTGTAAATTTTTTCCTGTCATGTTTCAAAAAGAATTCTTTAAGGTTTTGCTGGTTTTGTAGTATTTGTTTGTAAAGTTCGCTATAAAAGTTTTCTACAATATTTTTAAAATCTTGATTTTTGTATTTTGTTTCTTGTTTATCATTTTTAATGAAGAAATCGTCCTTTTCCCTTTTTCTTTCCTAAGTTTATAAGCCAACCGTGTGGGTTTATTCACGTTTTCAAAGTAGTAGGCTTTCGTATACTCTGTTCGCTATTTCTTGTGTTAGTAACATGTTTATTTGATGTTGAATCAATTTTATCTTAATTATTGCCTCATTTATATCTCCCTTATTTTTTGAAACAGTTTCTTCTTTTTTGAGATTTTCTGTCAGCTTTTTAAACTTCTCCCTTTTTTGTTTCTTTCTCCATATATCTTGAGTAATGAATAGTCCTCTCATACATGCTTTCATTGTGTCCCAGATAGTACTTGGTGACATATTCTCCATTTTGTTTATGTTTAGAAATTCTTTCACATCTGTTTTAATCTTTTCAACAAATTTTTATTCTTATAGTAAACCAGTATTCAATCTCCATCTTGTGGTTTTACATGTTTCTTGTAGTGATATCCATATAGGGTTGTGATCAGCAAAGGTATTAGGTAATATTTCCACATCTAGTAATTCTTTCACCATGCCTATGTTTAACCAGGCCATGTCAATTCTGGACCATGATTTATGTCTAGCAGATAAATAATTATAGTCTCTTTTTTGTGGGTTTCTTGTTCTCCAAATCTCTATCATGTTGAGCTCTTCTGCCAGTGTTAAAAAGCTATTAGGTAACCTAGCACCTGCTTTCAGGGGTTTCTTTACATCATCATCATCATTATTATTATTATTATTATTATTATTATTATTATTATTAATAATAATAATAATATTTATACCCCGCCCATCTCGCAAGCAGGCTCAGGGCGGCTAACAAAACGGTACAATGTACCTGGTTGACATACATAAAACTTAAAAACTCTATAAAATCTCATAGACAAATAATTTAGGACATAAGTTAGCAATTAACAATAAAGTGCATACAGTACTACAAATTAGATGGCGTGCTTCCAGATCTCATTCTGCGTTATTCCACCGATCATCATCCCTCGCGCCTAGCGATATGTCTGGGCCAGACCTAAGATCCAAGCATTCACTAGGATCATTGGTGGTAACAGTGGTGCCAGCTCCTATTGAAAGGCCTGGTGGAAGAGCTCCGTCTTGCAGGCCCTGCGGAACTGTAAAAGGTCTCGCAGGGCCCTGATCTCCTCCGGGAGCTCGTTCCACCAGTAAGGAGCCGCCACAGAAAAGGCTCTGGTCCTGGTACTGGTGAGCCTTGCATCCTTGGGGCCCGGAATAGTCAGCCGGTGTTGGGCCCCAGACCATAGTGCTCTCTGGGGTATATATATTTTTCTATCTTCCTTAGGTTCTAGTACCGCATTGAAATCTCCTACCACACATATATCTTCCGGGTTTTCCTTTGTTAATACATTTTTTAATTCCTTGAAAAAATTTTCTTGGTTCTGATTTGGCGCATAAAGATTTACAATCAGTGTTTCTTTTCCATTTCTTCTAATTTTCACCAGTATAATTCTTCCGTCAGCTGATTTGTAATTGAGCACTGGATGTAGCTTCTCATTCACATATGTCACCACTCCCCTTTTTTTTACCTTATCCGATGCAATAAATGGAATACCTAATTATTTATATTCTAAATGTTTCACATGTTCATCCTTTATATGAGTTTCTTGGAAGCATATGATATCTGCATGCAATTTTGCCGCTTGATGGAAAAGTCTTTGTCTTTTTTGTGGGCTATTCATTCCATTAACATTTACAGACAAAAGATTTAGTTTTTTAGTTGCCATTCTTTTTGTCCTTCTTTGAAATTACTATGTTTTTAAGCTGTAACCTTGTACGAATTTGAGATTCAGTTCTGAATCATAATTGCTGTTTCTTTCTGTTTTATCTTTTTTGTATGAGCTTTTAGCATCTGTTTGTGATATCAACCTTTTTTCGGTTTCGTCCTCTTCCTCATTATCATCATCTTTTTTATTCATTTTAGACATTTCTGTCCAACCTTATCTCCTCAGACTCAAGGCAGCAAACAATGCCAGAAACCGGGTTGCAAGGACAAAAAACAATAATAGTCTGTTTTAAAAAATTAACACAAAAATTAAAATAAACCAATTAAAATTTAAGAGCCTTCCACATATAAGAATTAAAGAGGCATGTGACTTATCCAGGAAACCTGGATTTGCCATCACATAATCATTTCCCC